TTTCTTAACAGTCAGTGTATTTGTATTTGTTAATTAATAAAAGAGATGACTTATTGCAGTGGTTGATGGTAGAAGCTCTGGCCAACAACCCCAAGATTGAGGTTAACCAAGAGGGAAAGTATATCTTCAAAGCACCGTTCAAGATCAAAGACAAGAAGGGACTGCTGAAACTGCTCAAACAGCATGACCTGAAGGGGTTGGGTGGAATCATGTTGGAGGATGTGCAAGAATCTCTGCCACATTGTGAGAAATCCCTCAAGGTCAGTATTTGTGATGTGTTTAACGCAAATCTTTAATTTTGAATTCACCAAATCTCGAGATAAGATGTGAGTTTGTGATTCAATAGTCTGGTTGCTAACCATGGTCGGTGACAAAGGTTTGTTCCTCAAAATCTGTGGTTTCATTATTAATGCCAAAATAATCTAAAAGTATACCGGTACTAAATTTACTGAGTGAATAAACTCTAAGTTTTGTTCAAGGAAAGGCTCTAGGCCAGGATTTTGAATTGTAGAATAAGGAGTCGTCCCACGGGGGACTTTGTCAAGTGTAGAGAAAGTGGTATAAAGAGTTTCTTTTCCTCTTGGCTAACCTCAATATTTGGGTTGTTGGCTAGAGCTTCTACCATCAGCTACTGAAATAAGCCACTACTAAAACAATTCACAAAAACAAACGGTCAAATCTTGACCTTCTGGTGGCATCATTGAATCGGCGAAAATACTGGCCAGCATTTTGGTTGTTTTACAGCAATCCATTTCCACAGCAAGATACAAATTTCAACTACAGTTTTCAGTTGGAAAAATGTTTTGACTGGATAATTAAAAAAAATGAATAGTTTACAAACCAATTTTATTCAGTTTAAATGGGTTTTATGATCGAAGATCTTTATTTTTTTCTCTCTCCTTTGTTTTTAATTACTTTCCACGACTTTTTCTGTACACTTGACAAAGTCCCCCTGGGGACAAAATATTGCTTGTTCAGTATCTCTTCTGTATGTTCTATAGCCTACTTCAAGCTACAAGCTAGCTTCAAGGTAAGCTAGCTGCTATACTCCTTATTCTATATCTCTCTAGATAGACTTATCTCATAAAATTTCCTTTCAAAATCAGGTAAATTTGCTATAAATAGACTTTAAACAGTAAGACTTCAAAGGTGCTACCGTTTAACTATTTATGTTCTGTCATCACTTTTTCTCTTCTTTAATTCAATCAATTTTTATTTTTTAGCACTTAGCAAATGAAATAGTGTACATTACAAGGCCAATGGATAAGAAGAAAATAATGTTTTACAACGATAAAACAGCAAACATGTCGATTGACGAGGAGTTTCAAAAACTATGGAGGTCAGTCGCTGTTGAAAATATGGACGACATGAAAATTGAAGAATACTTGGAAAAGCAGGTTAGTCCTTTAATACTTTACTATACTTTAATACTTTAGGGCCAACATTCCTTAGACACAGCTGTTAATTTAATAGCCCATGCATCTAATGGCAACTAAGGGACCTACAGTTTATAGTGGAATCCGAACCACATTTTTGCCTCTGTATATACAAATTGGTCTAATCATCAGGATAGTACTGCGGATAGTCAAAGTACTCACCTTACTTTTACTTTACTTTTCAGTGAAATGGCGACCATAGAAAGTAGGTATTTTAAAACAAGTATGAATGGATATTAGTGTAGGATGAGTGGCGCTATCTTGTAGTCTTGTTAGTGACTTAAGGCCGACATATTCCTTAGATTCAGAGCTGTTAATTAATAGCCCATACAGCTAATGACAACTAAGGGACCTACAGTTAGTTTATAGTGGAATCCGAACCATGTTTTTGCCTTTGGTCACAGAAAACATACTACTATAACCCAGAATGCCAACCGCATGGTAAAAAGCATTACTGTCATGCACTCAGCATAGCAACGCTGGTGGCGCTGCCTACGAATTGACAGGCAAAGCTCTCTCAAAACGCTTAATGCTTTTTACCATGCGGTTGGCATTCTGGGTTATAGTAGTATGTTTTCTGTGCTTTGGTATACAAATTGGTCTAATTATCAGGATCACTAGTGCGGACGTTAATCCACACCAGGGTGTATCACATCCACAGTGCATGCCTATAAATATCCACAATTCGTGACCTCCTAGTATCTGGATTACAGGACGACGCCACCTTAAAACCCTTTCTTAACCCTAAAGTTTAAAAAAGCTATGGCATTGCCTCCCTTTGTAGATTTGTCATCTTTATGGAACAGCTGAGGCTAATTTTATTGTTAGTTCTGTACGTTCAACTGTAGGGATCGTGTTTTGTGTAAAATTTGTTTTCGGTCATTTAAAACCTCATTTAACCAAATAAAATGATATAATCATAAACAATAACTGGTCTCCTAGTTATACAGGGAGCGGCAAAATGATCTGACGGTTTTCTTTGCCGCCCTGTTGAGCGAGTGAGTGGTGGAGGGTGGTGGGAACAGGGGCGTTACAAAGCCTACGTGCGAACATTTTAGTAGCCATGGACCTAGGGACAGCTGAGCACCATGCATTTGTAGTGGAAGTGTTTTTTAAAAGTGACAATTCCTGTGTAGCTGTTCAGCTGCAGTTACGTAGACGTTTCAATGTGGGCCCAAGGGGAAAAGTCCCAACTCGAAACACCATTTTGCTGTGGGTGGGTAACTTCAGAGCTACTAGTTCAACATTGAAAAAACGTCCAACAGGTCCAAGGTCAGCCCGGACGCCAGAGAACATCGAGAGAGTGAGAGAAGGTGTGGAAGCTAGTCCTTAGCGGCCTGCACGTAAATAAGCTGCAGCTCTGCACATGTCTGGTCGCTCGGTATGAGTACGGCACGACCCGCACTTTCATTCATACAAAATGGCAATCGTGCAGCAGTTGAAGCACAGTGGTTACATAAAGCGCATCTCATTTTCAGAACAAGTGATTGATTTACTTACACGTGACAAAATAGTCATTATGAGCGACGAATCGCACTTTCAACCACACCACACGGCCTTCCTCACTCTCTTGACGTTCTCTGGCGTCCGGACTGACCTTGGATGGCCTGTTGATTTTAGTTTCAATGCTGAACTAGTAGCTCTAAAGCTACCCACCCGGCCACCCACAGCAAAATGGTGTTTTGAGTTGGGAATTTTCTTCTTTGACCCACATTGAAATGCCTACTGAATAGCTACACATGAATTGTCACTTTTAAAAACACTTCCACTACAAATGCATGGTGCTCAGCTGTCCCTAGGTCCATGGCTACTAAAAATGTTCGCACGTAGGCTTTGTAACGCCCCTATTCCCACCACCCTCCGCCAATCACTCGTTTAACAGGGCGGCAAAGAAAACCGTCAGATCATTTTGCCGCTCCCTGTATAACCAAATAGTAAAGCACAAATCATGAAATTAACCCTAAACTAATAGAAACAAAATTTCGTCTAGCCCAGCGATTAGTGTGGACGTACGTACATGACGTATTATGGCGTTGCTCAGTGTGACTTTTCATATTTTATAGGTCAGTGTGTCAGTTCAGTTCAAATGCTTCAAATCATCATAAACAATAACTTGCCCCTTAGTTATATAACCAAGCAGCAAAGCATGAATCATAAAATTAACCCTAAAATAATAGAAATAAAGTTTCGACGACACTAGAGGTCAGTGTTACCGGACATGAACTAGACACAAAAAACAAGCTTTAAAATTTACAATGGGATGAAAAGTCTACTTGTGTTGGTTAGTCTATTATTCTATCTATATCTCCTTACCTACATCACAAAAATCTACCTTGTGTTCTTTTATGAGTTACGTCTCTTCCAGAAATATTGAAAATTCTGGCGTTATTCATTGGTTCATTTGGTATCTAGTAAATAAACAGTTTAATTCACCTTTATTTCAGTAGGAACATAGAATACAGTAATTTAAAATTTTCAGGGAATCAGATCCATGCAAGACCACGGTCTGAAGAAAGTAACGCCGGCACACAAGAGAAAGAAGCCGAACCAAAGGAAAAAGCAGCTGAAGAAGCCAAGAGACAACGAACATTTGGCTGACGTACTTGAAACATATGATGATAAATAAACCACATCGGCACTTCAAGTCGGTACTGTGGTGGGGTTCCTGATTTGTATTCAAATCTCCTGTTTTACACTGATACATTTCTGGTTCTACTGTGTAGAGTGGGAAATGACTAAGAGTTTTGTAAATAAATAGTTGATTTTGTACCAGTTTACTCCAACATCTGCACCTCTTCTCAATTAGAAGTGTTGGGCCTCTGGAGACCTCAAAACGAAAGAGTAAATCGATCATGGGGCTAGGTCTTACCATGAGACCTACAGTAATAGCTTATTCCCTCTATGGGAAATTCGCTAAAAACAACTCTTTATAGAACTAAATCCTAGGTTTTAAACCAATGAAGTCCTATCTAATATGTGTTGTGCCGACTAACCAATCCTCCAGGGAAAGCTATTAGGGCACAGTCATTACTTCATAGTTGGAGACACTACGTAACCACAGAATGGTTGTGACAAATTTAAAAGGTGTGTTGTACCAAGCCATGTTTATGTCTCTATTACTTTCACTATAACTAAATCATGAAACTAGGATGCAGTTGAGGAAGATAGTAAAAGCATTGACTATTGGATACTGAATTAGAAGTAGACATCCCCATTTATATGGACCAGCTGTAGCCAATTTTTTTATTAAAAAAGAACATAGTTGTGTGAGCCAGTCACAGAATGTGCTAGTGTCTATAAAATTCTATTTTATACCTTATTTTTTGTTGCTGACCAGGTTGATGGGTCATAACAGTTGCTATAGCTCACCAAAAGTCATTCCCTAAATTTGACTTGGTAAAATGGTTTGTGTATTCGACAGAATTAAGTAATTTAGATCAGCACAGTCTGTCATTGGCTCACATCAACTAAGACGATTTTGATTTAAAAAACTGGCTACAAATTTAACATGAGGATGGAATGTCTAGTAAAAGTAAAATTTTGTGGGATGATTGAGATGCCTTGTATTGTTTTGTTACAAGAACAGGTTACCAGAACAACGTTTTTAATATGGTAACTGTAACTAACATTTTACAGTTAATAGTTGTATACAAATTATTTACAGATTTTATACAAATAAATCAATTGTCTTTAGGTAAGGCACTGTCACTTTTCCCCCTGCAATACACTTTAACTGAGGCTTTACTGCCTAGCATGCGGTCCAGGAGAGATTGTTTGTTCTTGCGACGCACACTCAACACTTCGCGACACAGTTCGTGAAACACTTCACCCACTTGCGTCACTTGCTCGGCAGCTGCCACTTCACTGAACGAGCATTCAAAGTCTTTGGCTAGAATTTCACCTGTAATGCAAAAATTTAGATATACAGTTTAATGGGTTTTATATCAATCTGTTTGATAGATTATTTTAATTTGTGTGTTTCAGTGGTGTTGGTAATTTTTTACATGCCATTCTTTTGGGTCAGAATTCACCCCAGTTGCGGTCAAACCATCAACCAAGCTTCAGATTTATACTGTGGAAGATATTTTTGCTAATTTTGTAAGACCACGTAAGTTCAAACTAAGATCTGTAATGTGAAACATGGGTACAAGCGTGAGAACTAGGAGTTAAGTCAGTCTGACGCTGCCATTTGAAAATGACAAAAGCTCATTGAGCTATGCATGTCATAACATAATTTTCTCTTCTGTCTGCTTTTTTATTCGTTTTAACATTTTATTTTAATCATGTAAAGTTAAAAAAAAAAAAACGGTATTCTTTACACAAGAACCTGTTATATTATTTGCAAAAGAAACTAGAAAGAATTACCACAAAACCGAATGTGATGCTAACATAAACGAGAAATAGTTTCTCTATTATTGAGAATGTTATTTAAATTATGCACTGAATGAAGGCTACAAATTAAAAGAGTACAAGGACTGATTTTGTTTTTCAAAGTAACCTATCTGACTAAGTTCTATCCAGTGTCATATAGTTCGTTAGTCACTAGTACAAAAAGGTTTCTGTGATATAACAGCTTTTCAAAAAAATGTATTTTTAATTGAAACTAAAAAAAAAAAAAAAAACTAAACAACATATGTCTATTTTGCTGGTTAAGAAATTTGTGAGGGATAAGTTTAGTGTGTTGAGGATACTAGCTATAACATCCTTATATATAATACGTCAAGGCGATTTCTACAAAACACTACTCCTCCGTTAATAATGGACGGATTTTTACAAACGATGTGTCAAAATTAAGTATTTGTTGTGTTGACACCCCCTTTCACCAATTCCTGTAATAAAAGTCCTCTGGCTTTGCCCCACAGGCCATCAAAATCCCAATGTATTTCTTATGAAAAAATGATTTTGTTTACTTAAACAGACGAATAATTTGTATTTCTTACAGCTGTTCTTAGTAAACACATGATACACACAAGAGCGTTCGTTTTCAGTTTCGATAACTGGAATGGAGTGATTGAATACATTATCTTTGAGTTTACTCTTTTAAGTCATCGGGAATAATTATGACTGTTATTCGTTTTGAAATAACACCTGTAATACTTTGCAATTGCTCGAATCCGAGCAACAGGTGCACTAGTATTATGAATTAAGAGAGCTGATGCACAGTACATATTAATGTCCGGGGACTGTACACTTCCACACTGTTTATTGTACCACTCAAATCTTTGTTATCTTAAATTTTTTGCTGGGTCTATTTTAGAGGTTTCAAAGACCCTACTTCTCCTTGCTCTAAGTTATTCACATACTTTTAAAGAGATGTGCGTCAAAGAACTTTAATTATTACATAAACAAGCTGATTCCTTTAACTGATTCCTTAACTAATTCAAAAGACATGTTAAAAAGTCTCAAGAAGTTAGCCGTGTCATAGTTACCTTCCTCAGTGCTGACTTGGCGCAGGTGTACCATATCTGCCTTGTTGCCTACCAGCACCAGCGGAAGGTCTGATGTAAGAGCTTGTCTGGCCCGGCGCACGTAGTTGAACGAACGTCTGTCAGTGATAGCGTAAACCAGCAGACACCCATCAGCCCAGTTGAGACTGTCCGTTGCTGGTAGTTCATCATCACTCTGGAATATCAGGAAAAATAATTAAGGTTTTGTCAAACATTATTTATTAGGTTACTACAAAATGCTGGGTAAGACTTTGTTACTTTAAATAACCAAGGTATACCAAGGTATTGTTGATCAATTAATCCACAAAAAATCTATGAGTGTTAGTGATTTAAATGTGTGATGTAAAACACAGAGGCGATACCCTGAAAATTTGACATGAAGGTAAATGCCCATGGGAATTGATTTTGTCTATTACTTAAGATCTATACAACGCCAACCCATCAAAGTGTATATTTTAACCCTTTGCGGTTGAATGGCGAGTATAGGTCACCGGCCACCATTTTCCTGACTGCTCAAATGGCAAACTCGCTGAAAAATGGAAAAACATTCCACCTCAAAAGGCTAAGGTGCAATCGAGTGTTAAGACTTTGATGTAATTTGAGCCATTGGTATTTTAAGAAATGGCCAAACACTGATTTGTCCCTATCTAACATCAACCTTTTGTTTGGAAGCATAGCCCAATGACAAATGTCACCACGGTCTAGACGGTCCAGTAAAAATATTGCTTGAAATCACACCAGCGACCTTAAGATTTCAAGGCGATCACTATAACCCCTCGGCTACTCAGATAATCTTATCGTTACTAATATAATATTTCATGTTCTATAGCTAAGACTATGGAGTCTTATATGCCCGATTATGGTGAGTCCAGTGCAAACCATCAAAACCAGGGCTGTGTAAAGGGTCAATGGAGCCCTGGGCAAACTCAAAAGCAGCGCCCCCCTTTTTTCCTAGTTGTACCCTGGGCATATGCCCAGTCTGCCCAATTATAACAGCGGGCCTATCAAAACCTATATTATCTTTTCTCAGGTGACGATCTGAGTCCTAGGTAAATACACTATTAACCCATTCAGCTATCCAGATATAAAATTACCAATACCCGCTGGGCATTTTTATTAATGACATCGGCAATAATGACATAACCATTGACAGTCATCTTTTGGTTGCTTAATGGAATTTTTAATTTAACAAATAACGAACAATGAAAATAAATAACGTGAGATTATTCAAGTCGTCGTCATCATGTTATATTTGTTGGTGATCTATAAAGCGGAGAACATTCTGTAAGAAAGCACAATTGTTTCAGCAGCATCAAATTAAGAGCTCTTATGTGTCTGTTGTGTTTCTCGGGTGGCATCTGTCCAAATGCCAATTGGGTGTGGAAACTGGCTCTAGGTAGCGTAATTTGTCAAATGCTTAGAATCCCAAAAATAACCTGCACATTATACTGTGTCTTTGAAATTTAACTCTTAAACACAAGGGATTTTGCTTTAAGATTTTAGTGATACTTAGTTTTAGTACAGTACTTTAAGTTTTAACTTCTTTATCTGTCCTGTTTCTACTTTCTTGATTAGAAACTGAAACTTCGTTGAGTTTGTCTGATCTCATCCATAGTTATGCTTGAATGTGTTGGTGTCGATGAAACAGGTTTTCTTGTACCTAACTTAAGTGTAGCACCTTGTTTATGATCACCAAGTCCAAGTGTAACTTAGTTTCTACTCGTACATACATGTAGATTTTTCCAATGTAACTTTTATGATTCTTGAGGCCTAGATGATTGTGAGCCTATTCACACAGGCATTTTTTCTGGTATCTTGTCCCAATTTGGCGGAAGGAAAACACCTCTTTCAAATGCAAACCTTCCAATAGAGCTTAATTATTATTTATTAAGGTTCCTGTATACTTATATGTTAACTCTATTTTCTTTCAAGAAAGAGAGAAAAATTAACTTACAGTCATGCTACATTAAAGGATGACATTGAATACCCCTCAATCTGGTTTGGAAGATATCAAATTTGATCAATATATGTTTATGTTTGTGTTTAAATATATAAATACTTGAGAAATACTGTTACTACATTGAATCATTATTTTGTTATTTTTGAAGTAGAGGACCCTTAGACAATTTGAAGATGGGGCTGGAGTACCGGCTTTTTATTAATTAAAATAGCAAATGTTTATTATTTTTCCATGTTCAAATTGTACTATCATTTTTTACTAGTGGCTTGTAGGGGCAATAGCCCCTATTATTCTAGTTAGTATTTTGTACAGATTATTAGTCTTATGGGTTATCCTCTACCTTGAATTATTGTTTAACATTTTTATTTGTTATAATATGTATGATAGTTAGTCATAACATAGCTGCATAAAGCATTTTGATGTCTGCTCTGTTTAAAATAAAAATTCCAAAGGACTGTTCATGCAGTGTGTTTATAATATAAACTTTCTAATCATAATACAACTAAGGAACATGTTCAATAGTAATTTTCATGACTATTAATTAAATATATATAAATGTCTTTGAATATATACAAATTCACTTTCAAAAAACACATAGAGGTAATGTCATCCTCCAAATTGTAAAATGCAAAATCACCCGGCTAAAAGTAACATAAAGTTGACCACTGGGTAAACACTGTTTTTTTTTTTTTTTTTTTTTTTTTATATATAATTGCCAACTTTTGTGAAGGTTTGGCCTTGCGCTTTATTTATAGTAACAGCGATTTTTTAAGAGAAAATTTAAACTCGGATTGGTTGATATTAGTTTTATTTTTGGCATGAAAAATAGGTTCCCTTTGCCTACTCCAGTAATTCCTTCTAACTTTACACTATTTTCGGACATGGCTAACACAACCAATCGTACTCCATTAACTAATGTAGACCCTTAAAATTGGGAAAAAGTATATTTAAGCTTTATAATAGTATACACAGTAAAAAAACAATAACAATCAAATCAAAACAAATACATACTAATTTGACAGTTACAATCAGGTGATCTTTTGTTTGCAATCCGAGTGACGTCAGAATATGACGGGAATAGCACACCTATGTTTTTTCCTTCCACCATGCACAGTACATATTACAAATTACCATATGCTGTAAATAAAGTTAAACCACATGTTTTAAAGTAAACAAAGCAGACATGACTTAGATTCCCGTGCTATTTAAATGTGAATTAATTTATTCCGTAATAACCTTTTGGTGCATAATTAAGAAAAATGAATAGTTTTCCCTCAAAATTCATGTCAAGACCTTTAAAATAAGACCCCTCCCATCCTTCTACGGCCATCCAGTCACTCACAATTTCTTTACAAAAATTTTACTTACGGAATTATACAGGGTGTTGAAAATGTCTGGAACCAACATTATATCTGGTGAGTGGTTAAAGAAAAACAACTCATATTTTGTGTACGGATAAACTATGGTTTTACCTATCTTTTGGTGCCTTATGAAATTTTTTACCACTTATAGGGAACGTCCTGTGGAGGATGCAGTAAAAAGTTTTAATGGAAGCCTATGTTAAATGATACATCATTTTAAAGGTCATTTTTTTCTGAGTAAAGAGCCACAAGTTTCATCTCAAAAGGACCACCCTAGCAAAAATGGCGACTGTTTGAAATTTAAAAACCCACTTATAGGGAACGTCCTATGGAGGATGCAGTAAAAGGTTTTAACGGAAGTCTATAGTAAATTATACATCATTTTAAAGGCCATTTTTTTCTGAGTAAAGAGCCACAAGTTTAATCTCAAAAGGACCACCCTAGCAAAAATGGCGACTGTTTGAAATTTAAAAACCCACTTATAGGGAACGTCCTGTGGAGGATGCAGTAAAAGGTTTTAACGGAAGTCTATGGTAAATTATACATAATTTTAAAGGCCATTTTTTTCTGAGTAAAGAGCCACAAGTTTAATCTCAAAAGGACCACCCTAGCAAAAATGGCGACTGTTTGAAATTTAAAAACCCACTTATAGGGAACGTCCTGTGGAGGATGCAGTAAAAGGTTTTAACGGAAGTCTATGGTAAATTATACATAATTTTAAAGGCCATTTTTTTCTGAGTAAAGAGCCACAAGTTTAATCTCAAAAGGACCACCCTAGCAAAAATGGCGACTGTTTGAAATTTAAAAACCCACTTATAGGGAACGTCCTGTGGAGGATGCAGTAAAAAGTTTTAACGGAAGTCTATGGTAAATGATACATCATTTTAAAGGCCATTTTTTTCTGAGTAAGGAGTCACAAGTTTCATCTCAAAAGGACCACCCTAGCGAAAATGGCGTTTCACTAAACTTATTTTTAACAGAAATATCAATTATTTTCAAAAACTTCAAACGGTCGCCATTTTTGCTAGTGTGGTCCTTTTGAGATGAAACTTGTGGCTCCTTACTCAGAAAAAAATTGCCTTTAAAATGACGTATCATTTACCATAGGCTTCCATTAAAACTTTTTACTGCATCCTCCACAGGACGTTCCCTATAAGTGGTAAAAAATTTCATAAGGCACCAAAAGATAGGTAAACCATAGTATATCTATACACAAAATATCAGTTGTTTTTCTTTGACCACTGACCAGATATAATGTTGGTTCCAGACATTTTCAACACCCTGTATATATAGATATTAAAGTGTTATTTTCAGATTTACTTTGTTATACACTATTTTTATTCCTTTGCTTTAGGATAACACTAGAGGACCCATGTTGCCCCGCAGCGTTGAAATAAATATCATATTGGAGAAATAATCAAATTATGATTTTTGATAGGGTAATACAGTATCTTAAATTTAAGTGATTCAAATGATCAATAGCTCAAATTAAAGCATATGATTAATTGATTATTTTGAGTCTAAAACATAAAAAAAACATGAACAATACTGGAGATAATGATTTTAAATCATAAAAAAACCTTATAAAAACAATTTTTATGTTGGTTGTTCACCTTGTGTTTGCTTGAAACTGGTCCGATTTGAAAAACCAATAGCTTAAATGAAAGCCGGTATATAGGATTATATATTATATAATAATAACTAGTGAAATACATCTTAAATTGAAGTAAGAATTCAAAAATAAATCAATATTATGTTTTTTGGCCGAGTAATACAGTAGATAAATGTATGCCGATGTTTGATGTAAAATTTGTGCATGACCTTCAATTTGAGACCTCAATCATGAAAATCGGTCGGGTAGAAGAGCCAAACGAACTCGGGAAATCAAAAACCAAATTTTTTACATACAAGATGATCATACAGTTTGAACTATTGCTTACAAAATTCATAAAACTGCCAATAAACACCTAAAAAGACAAGTTGAGATCATACACACCTTGGGGCATGAGTCCAAGATTTCGAAGAGGATGGGCTCTCCGTCCACTAACACTTCGTGTTTGTAACGGGTTTCTGAAAAAAAATATCATTGAACCCCGGATTCCTTTGATAAAAAATCCATAGTGGAGGTTGTAAAAAGTATAGTTTGATTCAGCTATCTGATTTTACGGTAGAGATAGAAAAATAAAAATGTATAGTGTTTTAAAAATTCTGTAACTTTACAAAATTGATTTAAGATTTTTTAAATCTTCAGGGTTTCAGTGTACTTATATAGATAGGTTTGTACTCGACTCGTACATTACCAAAACTTATTTACAGATCTTTTTACAACAATCATTGTTGATCGCTTGAAAAAAAGTGATAAGATAGTGGTATATGTATATAACATATAAATGCTGTTAATCACCCAAATTATAAATTTAAATCAATTGATAATTTAATTTTTTGTTTCTTACCTGCCTGATGGTCATACTCCCCAATGTAACGTCTTGTCAGAAATCTCACTGTCAACGCTGAAAGCAGGAATAGCATTAATATTATGCAAAACAACGATGAACTAATCAATGTGATCAATTCATTATTTTATGTGTTTGATATGAACACTGGTATTTAATATACAAAATGTAATTCTGTTTTAGTGTTTTATGTTTAGGTGGATTTGTGGTAGTTGGGTAGCTGTGTCATTTTAGTATTCCTCTAACAATCTGGACGTTTCTGTTTCCATACTGAGAAACATCGATACTTTAATTAATTACCTATTTAATGTTTTGTACCAAGGGCAGCTGCCTACCCTTGGTAATTTAGCCCGAAAATCTGGTTAAATAAACAAAGAACCTTGCATATAAAATCATCAAAAACATGATCTTTACCTGAAATATGTATTCATAATCGAACTTATAACACCCCCCCCCCACCTTATAACGACCCGTTTAACTAATAAAATGGAATGATATAAAACAAGAAACTACTGTTTTATAGTCTGAAAACATCCCATACTATACGGCGATCAATATTTTCCTTACTCGAGTAAATATATACCGTTTAAGGGACACATACGCAGGATTCAATGGCCCGTCGATGACGACATGAAGCATGGAGGCTACAATAACAAAGGAAGATGTTAAATATAGCGTGAGGTTAGTAGGCCGGAGTCTGCAAGGCCGTACTGGGGTCTGGGACGTATAATAACAACAAGATGTGACTATGAAGTAATACAACTACTGTACAATTATAATTACACTAGTGAGTTCAATAACAGGTTTTTATAGGATTCATCCTGACGTCCCAGCATACTGTTCATACAAAATATTAGACGAAATTAAATTTTAGTTCCCTGTAAACGTAAGAAAAGTAAGATTTTGTCTACTGTATAGTAACCGCACTAACAAGGGCCCATTGTATATATAGATGTTTGATCCCCTATGGTCTGTTTGATAAGCATTGACTTCATATGTCAGGGACTCAGGGTAGACTTGGACCAGTTGTAGCCAATCTTCGATCCTACAACATGTGTGCCCTCAATGAGTGAGTAACTGTAACATTGTACTCGAACACTATGGCTAACAGTTTTATGCATTACTATAGTCTATCGTGTTTGGCTAATGGCTCTAAGATAGTAAAGGCATGATGATGTTACCGGGGAATGGTTTCCATTCGATTCAAGAATATTCGAACACGTGTGTACAGTTTTGTAAGCAAAAAAATAGTCGAATCCGTCACGATTTGAATTAAAACCAACGCTAACGCACTGAGTTCAGCTCATATGCATTGCTATTACGCATAGAGAGGCTCCATGAGTAAAAATAAACAACCTCTAATTTATTTCCCGTTACAAGGTAAGTAGTGTATATTTACACATTTCAGAGTAAATTAGCAGTATAAAGAATGTAAATGAAACTGAAGGGTGGAGGGACAAGGTCGGGTATTTCAGCGCCGGAATGTTGGCAACGGTTCAACTAGTGGATGGCCACTGACCACCTCACTGATAAGGTTGATAGGAGCTGGAAGAATGATTGGAGTTAAGGGGTGTGATTCGAAAATTACTGAACTTCTGTTATACGATCGTTTCTAGCTTGAAATCTATTTCTTAATAACTTAGCTAGTCTGCAATCTGCATGTCAACTATCTTGCAGCAATATTCAGCACTAGCTGTTTGTAACCTTCTTAGCGTCGCTGTGTTTAAGCGTAGAGTCATGAGCTGGCTTTTAAATATCGGCAGGGAAGGGAGCAATCAGAAAGATTACTCAAATCGTTGTACTCATAAATTTCTGCAGTTTCATGCGTCACCAAATCACTTTTTTCCTTCATTGCTAAATACCACTTAAATCAATAAATTTGAGTTTTGGATGTTTCGATGCAATTAGGTTTTTTCTCTCTCTTAATCTTGTTAATATTTTTTCTATATAAATAAAATTAGAGTTTTGTCTGTACATTGCTCAGAATTATATACTTTTAGGTTATTTTTACGTTTTATACATTAAAGAAGCAGAAACGAGTCTTATCTCAATTTCTGTCTGTCTGTCTGTCCCTTTGTCTGTAACACTCAAGATGGCATTTTACGCAATCTTCTCCGTGAAAACCAGAGTACATATCAAGATCCAAGTCATTTTAATGTATTCACTGGATTGGCGAGAGTGTCTTTAGTGATTTAAATATAGCCTCACTGCTTTGTAAATAAAATTACGGACGTTAAAAAATGCAGTTTTGTGCGATTTTTGTCAAATTTTCGTTCAATTTTTATCACATAATCGTCTATGAAATAACGAACAGCTGTTCGGATCAAGATTATTTTTTCTAGCTGTCAATGACATGTTTACAAATGTTGTTTACAAATACCGCAACTATTTCGAATCACGTTTTGAAAGCAAATCCCAACCAAGTGAGATTAAAAACGTTTTTCTTATATAACGGATTTAATTAATCGCAAGTCCAATAATATAGTCTAATAGTGTAACCGTAAATGAAATTAAATAACTAGACATCGTCCATCCAAATCGGAACCAGAAATTCTTTGAGTATAAAATGTTTCTTGAGTTTTGACAACCAGAAAGAATAAGACCTTGAATCAGGGCTGTGACACTGAAATGATCGTCGCCAATAGCTTACAAAAAAGGTTTCCACTCATTGACGGCGCTTCAATGGCGGTTGTGTAAAGTGTAAAGTAAAAAATCACAACTGCAGTGGGTGATTGTAACAGAGGTTTAACAGAGGAAGTGCTAAACTCGCTTTTCCAATGTGTCACTTTCTGTTTCTACTCACCGTGTGATGCAATCGCTGGACCATACAGCCAATAGGCCCATAGCTCATATCTTGGGTACGTAAGCCTACATATTTATTCATAACAACCTTTTTGACGACGATCCTTGATACCGGTACTTTTCCATAGAATACATGGCCTACCTACTTAAAAAATAAAATTACAAATGACCAAAACCCCAACATTTTGTGATTTTCGTCACATTTCCTTCTAATGTGAATAGATATACTAATCATTGTTTAGAGAATGGGTAATCTATTAAATAACAAAAAGTTGATTGGGTAAGGTTGCTTTTTTCAAACTGACACCGATAAGTTTACGCTATAACTTTTTACGAGAAAATCCAAAAGCAAGAGATCAATAACCTCGGGACTAAATATTAATGTATTTAATTGGTCCGATTTACTATAGTTCTTAGGTAGGTTCTTACGTAGGTACTGGTTCTTTTCCTTAGAACCGGTAGTTTACACATTTGATATCGTTGGTGTTGCACCTTATTTATTAGAGCCGTCCGTATTCAATTTAAGTGATGTCTTAACTCTGTATAGTTTTGCTTTTTCTGTCTGGATTCCAAATCTTAGCTTACCCGGTATGCTAAGAAAATGATAACCTATTTGAGTAAAACATTTGTTGGGCAAACCATCATGAATTGTTTACGCCTTTATATTGTTTATGTATCAATAGTTCGTGGCCTTTGTTGGATTGTGTTGTTTTGTTGTATGTTGGTAACGCATTAATGTCCTTATTTCTCAGTGTTTCACGGAATGGACAAGAGCACCTTTGATACTGAAAATGTCAACCGGAATAAAGTGTTAAATGGTGAGGTTGAGGTAGTACTTTAAATACGTTTAAGTTAACCGATGTGGAAAGTAACTTTCAATTATAGGCCTACTTTAGGGCTACGCTTCATGGATCTATAAAACATTTTTTAGTTTAATCATTGGACATATGGACCAACACGATCCGGGTGACATTTAATTGCGAAGCATTTATTTTGGCTTGAACTGTCAGATACTGTATTTGCGAAGGTTTATATATAATAGTTTTGCCAGCATATCTGCAAATATGCAAACTAATTGCTGTTCTTAATCTTAATATAAGAAGGTTTCAACTGACTACTATAAGATCCCCGTGCGTAGAACGGGCACACAGCTAGTTATTTACTATCATCATTAAGTGTCTAAGTACTCCTGAATGTTTATTGACATGTGTATAGCTGTATTAGCAACTCATTCCCAAACACAGACGGATAGTCTACTTGGGAATTATTTTTCCTGTACACACACAATTTTTAACAAACATGTAACATTAATTCAGGAATAAAGAGATTTTGATTTGATTTTGATTTGATTCTTATATTCAGAACAGGAGTTGGTTTGCATATTTAGTGTGCATTTTTCCAGATATGCTGGCAAAACAATTACTGTATAGGAATACACATAAACCTTCGCAAATACAGTAACTGACAGTTTCAAGCCAAAACGAATGCTTCGCAATTAAATTTCACCCGATATTGTTAGTCCATATTTTATATTCAATGATAAAAAGCATTTCTTTATAGATCTATGAGGCATAGCCCTAAGGTAGGCCTACAAATTGATGGTTATTGCCTAAAAAAATAAACAGGCCCACATTGAAACAAAGACATTTCCCAAATAAATATTATGGAAACACACCAACAAACCATCTCCTGCGATTATTTAATTCTCAAATAGAAGAACAGGGGAAACAATGGTAGCTGTAGCACTTTTAATTGTGTGTACCACGTTGACCAATATTCGAAAAAAATAATGTAGTTAACTGCTGGTAAAAATATAATTTTATATGGTTTGAATGGTAAGAATCTGTCGGCCAAAATATTTGTTTTAACATGTGGACAAAATAGTACACCACAATCTATTTTGCTTGAACTAAGAACGAAAATAAATTGGTCATGTCACCAGGCACTTCCACCACTTACACAACTGTTACAACTTACTTCGGGTAAAACAATCTCCGATTTCTGTAAGACTTGGCAAAAACCTGTGTTGTCTAGGCAGTTCTACTTAAATAAACTTTACAACCACTAGCATGGGCCAAAACTGTGGAAACTCGATAATAGTAATGTTGAAATACAAATAAAATAGACAAACCTGAGAGAGGTTAGGAAACCACGGTATTTACCCGCCAATGTTTGGGCGGTGTTGAGTTTTGGCGGGCTTTCAACAAACTGGCGGCCAAGAATACTCTACTAATTGTCCAGTAGCCCTCAGTAAGTAGTTTACATCTAAGTGCGAATAAACTGTGAGAGATCAGTTGTCTGGTGTTTGGTACATGAAATAATGACGCACTTAACGTCTGGAAGTCAAAGTGTTTGACTTTGCGTCCATGTTTAAAATATTAAAAACTACCGTGGACAGTGATGCGTTATTAATTACAGTTATTTCTGCTGTAATTCTTTATCAACGTATATTACTGTTACTTAAAACTCCTAGTTAAATTTGTGTGCATGAATTTTCGGAGTAGTTGACTTAGTTTTACCATCGATAAATCATCCTCCCTTAGTGTTACTTAGTCTATGGTTTTACTTAATTTAAACACAACATTAAATAACAACACATTTCCTATTGCATGTTTTGGTATTATAGTATTGTATTATGACAAAATAAGAAACCAGAAATCGTAAAACCTATCTTTTAAGTCAGAGCCGATTTAGTTGACATAGTACACTCAAACTTTACCACCACGAAACACAGATAACATATTTTAGATTTTGAAATATGATGAATCTATGCATTATTCTATAGGTTTATAAGCCATCTATACGTGACACATCTTGAGATATCGAAATAGTTAACATTTCAAACAATGGTTTTGGAGTAACTGAAGAATCGCATCTTGTCCTTTATATTTACTTGGGCAAATTGCTTGATTTATTTTATTTAATTCACACACTTCAGGAGTGGACCGTAAATCGAAATGTTTTACATCTAGGGTAACAGGATTAAAGAGTTAGTTGGTCTTTAGTGTTACCAGTGTATTTTTGGTGTGTGGCTTTGGTTTCGAAGGTTCCTAGGTTCAAATCCCGCAAATCACAAATTTTATCGTCATGTGATAATGCCGTGACTCTAGGTCTATCCTGCAGTTATGTGTACAAATGTCCTAAACTAGAGCGCTCTATGATGTGTGGTAGGAGCCAGGATGGCAGGCTGGTCTTACAAAGATGTGACGATGGTGGGTACTGTACTTACCACTCTTGCCGACTCCTGGAGCTCCTACAACCACTACCTTGACCTCTGACAGGGAAGACTTCTTGCGTCGGATCCCGCGGATGGCGTTGGAAGTCATCATTTATACATCTTGTCCTCTGTAAAAATACGATACAAATATAGGTCAAACTCGCTGGATAAGATGGACAAGCAAGACGTATTGGTATCCTAATTATATTAAATTACCCTCGTATTTCGGTGGTCCGATTCTTAAAGACCAAGAGGGTGTCGAATTATTAAAAAAATGTTAAACGCAATTAGAACAAAATAACTTAAAGATATTTTCCATGTCTCCTTCTGATCCTCAGGAAGTCCAATTAATCAGTTTCTGTATTATTTTCAAATTACAAGGTTTATTTAATACAAAATAAACTTGGATTTAGATGATCAACTATCGCGTATCCTGTATTAACGTAGGCCTAAACTAAGTTAATAATTAGTGTTTTATGTGCTTTTCTAATTTATGACGTAACAATCTCAACAATGGCTTAATTATTCAAGTTTGTGACACTTGTTGATGATGTACCAAAAACATCAAAACGAGTAGTCATTCTAGGAGCAGAAGAATCACTAGTCAGTACCCTATTTACGCGAGTTGCGTACACTACTTTACCTACGACAGTGTTTTTAATTACTAAAAATCACTATTCACAACTTATGGTTATGTTTTCGTTTATAACCACTTATTGCCAACGACAGTGATGCAATGAAACATTATATCAAACTATAATTGCCATCACTCAACAATTAAATTGGCCTGAACAGCTGATTAGTTGAAGTTCGAATCGTTACAATTTTCCTTCTTATCTCTCAATACTTGAACCTCATTGTTCCTTCACTCTTGTTGTTATGAGTAAAACTATGCTGTTATGAAAGTAAACGATGCTGTTATGTGAATCTGTTCAATTTTAAGAACTGAACTGAAAAGACTACTTTAAAAAACGGTCGTAGGTAAACTTTTTTATTATATAATATCAATTATTCTATCGTAACATAGTCTTTAGGAGATGACCACTTGGTTGAAAAAACGAAAATGCTGGCACAACTATGTCCAATCTGTGATGCTGCTGGTCGTTGCAATGTTTTACACGGTCGGTCACACATATCAATCTGGTCCGGTTAATAACCTCACGCAACATATTTATCACTGAGGTCCTAGAGTTAGCTTGTGGATTTATGAGATACTTTACTAAGTAATGAGTGTCCATCCGTTCATCGTCCGTCCACTCGGAGGATTCTAAATCTCAATGACTGACAGCGGCCTTGCAAACGTTTGACTTGGTCAACCAAACGTTGATCTTGAACTAATTTTATGAATATTGGTTCCTACACCTGTGACATCAACGTTATCCCATATTTTACTCCTATTAAGACAGCTTTCAGTAGGCTACGTCTCTCCGGAAATTAGTTTAGGTATCATATGTTTATGGTAATATCTATTTCTTATGAAAATCACAAATTCATTTATTGTGAAAACCAATTAAAATATTATTAGATAAAATATAATAACACACGTTAACGTTAACACTGCCCGTTCTCTAGTAGGCCACATTGTAACCACTGTAACAAAATAATAAACCACTCTAAAATGACAACATTCACACTCAAGCATCATTTAACACAGACTTAAGATTTTACCATATGACGACAAGTTTACTTGCTCTGAAGACACCAACATCCCGTCCCGTGCATCGACACACACGTACTTAGTAAAGCCTGTTATACGATGTATGAACACGATGGATTTACAATTGTAACGTGTTGAACTGATATTGCTTAAATTCATGTTAACACTAAACTTAGTGCAATTATTTCGATTCATGAGGAAAATTGGCTCATGGTTATTCCAGGAAAATTAGGAAAGTAGAAAAAATAGCTTTATTTCCATCATAGTGCACTGTCTGAAGAGCGTTGAATATATAGATTTTCTAATGTGCCCAATCATAAATGCACAAAATCGTATGTAGGCCTTGGTGCTTGAAAATAAGCAGGTGACACATGATGTGTGGTTGTTGCAACCTAAAACACACGACGAGACCAACACCGTGATATAGGGCCACCTGCGGCATTTAAATTTACATTTCTAACATTTATTTTTCCACACGACATGAACTCGGTAGTATAAGTTTACTGAAATGAGTAATGATTACTCTCTCCAATGATTTAAGTGGAGAAATAAATACATGTAAGTGGATTCATAGTCGTAGGTAATATAAGTACAGTTGTACACGGAGATGGCCATTAAATTAAAACATTTTCCACTGTATCCAGTTTTTGCTTAATAATATTGTGGATGCTAATTATTGTTGGTACTTGCACATACAAGGGAATACGTATTATGTGATGTTAGTCACCATGATCACATAACTCAATAAAATTGGATTTCAGCAAAAATGTTTAAAACGGCACTTATCTATTGTTGAATGTACAGGTTCGTGGTCCCAACACCACAGACAATATTATAATTATGAATAATTTTTGCCATTGATTGCCAGAGTTTATTTAGAGTGTTTTTAAACGTCATTCATATTCTAGCATTTTCTGTAATAGATCAATCAATATTTCAAGCGTCTATTGTAAAAGTGTGTCTGGGTTCGAGTGGAATTCTTGATGTTTCCAGACTGACGGAGCTGTCAGGATTAGATACAAGATATACTGTAGAGTAGAGCATCACGTTATCTCTAGGTCTGGAATGTGTGCGTGATAAAGCGTGATTCTTTCCCAAAAATATACGTGACTAATAGTAAATCACATAAAATATTCTTAAGAAGGGAAATTACTTAAAACAGGCTCAAGTACTTCAAATATTACATCATGTTAACAGTTGCGGATTTGGATAAAATGAAAGGTGTGAGAAATATTTTGATCACTTATGAACCACAGGAGGCCTACCGAAGTAAATCCTACCACATTTAATAGGTAGTCAAAGTTACAACGATATGGTTAACACATTTGATTGATCATAATGGTAAAACATTGTGTATGGATATTAGAGTAACGTAGCTTGTGCAATTCGCCACCGGGAATCCTTCATTTGTAAGGTTTTGAGTAGTAAATTGAAAGATACCTTAATTGGGCTTTTGCGGGTTGGAATCATTCCTTTAAAGTGTTCGACAGGTACACGTATTGTATGCCATCTCTGATTGAAAATAAATGTCTTTGATGTAAGGAGTGTTGTAATTTAATTTTTAAAACACCCTAAAAATTCTAGTATAGGTTAAATGAAATGCACTGTTGGCAGATCACCTATTTACTTGTTTATATAATTTTTATAAATTATTGAATCTTTATAAAATATACGTTTACTACGAATGGGGGGATTTACAAACACGAGTAAAAAAAAAAATAATGTGACATTAAAACAAATGTTCTGGCCTAGTACTTTATAACTAAATAAACCTCTATGTACGGTTGCGGTATGTAGCTCTCAATAGGGTCTATGTATTAAATTAAATTAAAATATTATCAATGTTGTACATTTTAAAAATGATTCATATAGCCCACTTAATCACATAACTAAAAATAATTTATTATTGTTGTATTTAATCACGTAACTTTTTTTAACTTTCAGCAGTACATTCTGCTTCTAACAACAGAAGAAAATGTTTTACAATACAAAAATATACTATAAAAAATCGAAAAAAATATATATAATTAAAAAGGTTAACAAAGATTGAAATTTAGATTACATATATTACGTAAGTAATTATATTACTTAGCAGCAACTTACCGGCAACTGAGAAGTTCACTCATTCACCTGATGAAGCTGACAGGCAACTGACGCTATAGTGGTAAAAATAGTAACCGGTGAAACACTCCACTGTCAGGTCTACGTTCGTGTGGCGTTCTAGAAGTGCCAACTGAAAGAAGAATGCCCAGTTCACGTTCATTTAGCAGAAGAGTGGTCAGTGGGGGTTGAAAAGAACACAACGTCTTAAAACATTCCCAGTGGGCTGATCACCCACTGAAACGTCATATTCACGTCACAGCCAATAGCGCAACTTAAATCTCTACTGATTCCACATCACTACAATAAACTACAATATTTACTCTGTAACACTGTTAATTGTGTTTGGAATTTGTTTTTCCTACAGTCACCCGACAAAGTTGGCTTCATTGTACTGTTTATAGTACAGAGAGCTGCTAATTGCTGCATATTTATGGGACCGCGCTGAACTTGGACAACGACACACGCGGACAACGTTAAAGTTGGACAGATTAAGTTTCCAGGGTTGTCGTTTGCGTGCAACGTTACCCTTGGACACATTTGAATGTGTCCAGATTCGTCGTGTCGTGCAACGCCACCCCTGGACAACTTAAAAACTTGTCCAGGTTCGTCGTTTGCATGCAACGTTAAACTTGGACACATTTGAAGGTGTCCAGATTCGTCGTGTCGTGCAACGCCACCCCTGGACAACTTATAAATGTGTCCAGGTTCGTCGTTTGCGTGCAACGTTAAGCTTGGACACATTTGAATGTGTCCAGTTTCGTCGTGTCGTGCAACGACGAATCTGGACATTTGTCTTAAGTCTCTTGTTTTGGGACCTGACTGTACATTCTACCTGTCAAAGTCCATTGTTTGGGATTTCGACCAAGGCCCCACTAGAAAGACAGACAATGCTGAAGGTTCATGACGTCACACTATAGTGGATAGATTCACTGCAATATCCCGTATGTTTTAGGTAATAAAGCTGGCTGTTTTCAGATTTTACGGTTACATTTTCGTACAACTATCCACCACTGTGACGTAGTGTTGCACATTGTCGGTATTTTTGCATAATTAAAAGTAAACGAATATTTTCTATTCCCTACGGACGGAAAAACTAACACTTGCTCGGAAAACAACACATGTAACCCAGTAACCTAACGCATTTTACCTTGCATGAAATGGGGTAGTAGGTTTCTTTTTTTTATGTTGTTTGTAACAGTACCGAGTTGCTAAATACAAATTTTCGACCTCGGCGACCTTCCGGAACACCACCAAAAAGCTTAAAAATCGGCGGAATTTTGCACTATTTTAACGTTTGTCCGATTTTGACCCTGAAGCATCACTTTTAATAAAAAACAACCATAACCATTTTTAAAGTACATTAAATTACCTTTCATTTAAGACCAGAATGGTTGTTACAGGCCTAATAGTTTTCAAGATATGACTCCGCAAACATCAGTTAAAATTACAAAGTTTTGATTTTTTTTAAGTTTGGCAAACGTAAACCGTTGCGTTAACCCTAAAGCATAATTTTCTAATTATTTTTCATTAAAACAACCATAATTATTTTAAAACTACATTAAATTACTACTTACAATTTAAGACCAAAATAGTGATTATAGGCCTAACACATTGAGAGATATTGATATTGAGAGATATGTATTAATCTGGAACTCTAGTTAACCTATAAAACATATATACCTTGTTTTACGTGTAAATCGTGTTTATTTAAAACTAGCTAAGTGCCCGTTCTACTAACGGCGATATTGTCCAATCGCTATTTGACATCCAATTTGACATTTTCATTATCAAAAGTGCTTTTGACTTTTTCGTGAAACACTGAGTAATAAAGGCATTAATGCGTCACAAACAGACATACACACGAAAATGCAGAATTTAATTAGTTAAGGAATTTGCTACGGTTTCACCATAGCAAAGTACTGTACATATAAAATCAGTAAGCGCCGTTAATGAGTGGAAACCTAATTTGTGTAAGCTAGTGACGACAATGATTTAAAAACATTTAAGTTTACCAGCCCTAAACAACACTGATTCAATGTTTTTCCCGGTTATCAAAAATCAGGAACTATTTGATACACAAAGAATCTCCGGTTCCTGACCTGGATGATGCCAAGTTATTTAATTTCATTTGCGGTTACACATTATGCACTTGCGATTAATTAAATCCGTTATGTAAGGACAATTTGTTTTTAATGTCACTTGGTTTGGCTTTTATTTCAAAACGTGATTGAAATTGTTGCGGTATTTTTGTAAACAACAAAATTTTTTACGTTTTGGGAGAGGGAAATAAATTCTTTGATATTTAAAAGTCTATTCTTGAACTTCCACGCTGTTTTTGTCCAATGTGTAAGATAAGTTTCTCTCAGTTAGTTACTGTTTTTTGGCTAGGATTGAAAGTATATATTTGGAATCTGATATTTCTCATAATTAATTTTACTTATTTAAGTTGTTCATTTTTGTGTTTGAGTGCGCAAGCAAGACACTTCTCTCGCTACAATGGAAGGCCTAGTGGTAAATATTTATTAATTCTTCCAAATACATTATGAGCTATTTAAATGTATGATTAATTGGCCAGAAGTCAAACAGCATCCAAAGATTTAGTCTCAAATGCAACATCTGTTATGATCTGGAACTAAGTTTATATGTTCCGCTACAATTTTCTTACAAATTCTAATAACCAAAAAGCTTTTAGTATTTTGTTAGCCATTTCATGATGACACTTTTGTATGCTGAGGTGGCCATTTGACAATGGTAGGCTTAAACTACTAGGTGGCGTTTGCAGAAGCATCCACAAAATTGAGCGGAATCATCAAGGGTTCATCATATATTGTTTTTGCCATACTACATAAAAACAGTCGTTTTTAATGCATGCGTTGCGGGTCTTAAGTAGCATTTTTACTCTTTAAGGAGTAAGAATCATTTTTAGCCTCTATGGAGTAAAAATCAGCTGTTGTCAACTCAGTTGTAAATTTCTATTGTAAAGGATTGCATGTATCGAAAATATGTATCGATTCGTGCTTCGTAACCATTTTAACCTACAGTCTACAGTCTCTTCCCATAGCATTTAGCACTGCAGATACATTAATCAATTCCCACACTCAACACTGCTCACCTTTATTATTTTCTTCACCACCCCCTACGTCCGTGCTATATCCGTGCTTCGCAACGAGAGAGAATAATTATTATGTTCCATAGATATACTGAATGAAAAGAACCAACGAATAAATAAACACAATTTCGATAGATCAGCAGCCTGATCATTTTCAAATTACTCTTCGTATAAATTTATACGATATAATATAATAAATTACGTTATACATTTGAAAATTCCAATATTAAGCGTATTCATAAGAATAACGTAGAAACGTTTAAGGCAGGCAGGGCAGAGCCCTAGGAGAGTACTCTTGTGGAGAATAAGTGAACTGTTGTTGTTTGCATGTTTATAAACAAAATTTGATCAAATTTGGAAAATGTATTTATTTATACTATACTGTCAACATTGAACTATAAAAACACCTTACAGCCTTCCCTGTAGCAGCATACATAAAAACTCGTTAAACTAATGTTATAGCAATAGGGAATAAATATTTCATTTTAAGGAGATGTTTTTTGACAACACAGTCAGACTAAAGTAAAGTAGCTTTTAGTCTGCAGGTTCGTTGTGGCGGGGGTAGTTATAGTTCCGTAACGATTTTGCAAAGTATTACCCGTAGTGGATTCACTAACGATCTCAAATACACGCCTGATATGTTGTCATTGTGTATCACTGCTATTTTGCTGCTTTGTTCAAATAATCCTCAAACGAATCAGTATTATTATTTCTAGGTACGATATGTGATCGTAGGATACGATAGACTGCACATTGTGAAACAAGTTTAGTCGAACAGGATCCATTTACACATAATTAAATAATCCATAACAATTTGACTGCTCTATTGCAGTTGTTTTGCCACGAAAACGTTAAAATCTAAGGCATCTGTTTGCTTCATTTTGTTAGTTTATCCATGTTAGAGGTTGAGACTGATACGTTCAATCTATACATTTAATACACAGTTGTAACACTGTTATCTATCTATAATATTAAAAAGAAACTATGTTTTTTTATTTCACGATTCTGAATCAACCACTCGACGGATTTTCATGATTTTTGTGTTGAAAGAAAGATAATTTTGAGAACTAGGGAATGTCGAAGCCATAATTTTAGTTTAGGGTCCCAGTTTTTTAGAAATTAAGTTTTAATTTTTGAAAAGTCTAGCAGCCGACGCTAAGATTCTAAACTAGCTTTTGGTATAATATAATTTGCTTAACATAACAGCTGTAAACGTTCAGCGTTTGTAACACAAATTCAGCATTTGGATCAAATTAAAAGACATACTAAGGGTTGACTTATTTATACTATGTGTAATGCTAATCATTGATACGTTCAATCCTTCGATAAGAGGATGACGGATTATTTAAATATACATAGTAAAATACTAGGATGTTCAAATAATATTTTTAAATAATCTTTGTAATTTTCGGTTTGTTTTAGTGCAATATAATTTGTTTTAACTAACAGCTGGTTAATTATAAAAATGCCCTATAGAACTATGAGGTTATTTACTCTGATTGTGTCATTGATTATAGGAAATAAGTAAGATTAGTAGACCACCGAGATAAGTAACACCATCGATGTGTACAAGTCGAGGCTGTGTACACGAGTTAAATAAAAAAGATATGCAAATCATTTTACTGCTCAACTTTTTTGGAAAGGGTAGGAAAATCACAATTTTTACATGTTTTAATTCATCTTGACAGCTTTTTGTTTACAATCAATGTTTTTGAATGCTTGAACTTTGTTTGGATTAGGCCTGGAAATATTGATGTCATAAAGATGGAGATCAAGAATCCTCAGGAATACGATTTTAAATTACCACCACAACCTCAGACGGGTGTTATCTATCTAAATATATAAAAGGCAAAGCCCTCACTGACTCACTCACTCACTCACTCATCACTAATTCTCCCACTTCCCATTTACCTAGGAAGCTGAAATTTGGTACACTGATTCTTTAGGCATTAAATAGGAAAACTAAGTAGTTTTTATTCTGATCGGACTCTCGGGCTCCGCCCCAGT